ATTTGGAGATGTCACTCACATGATACTTATATGTGATAATCAAGCTGCTCTCCATATTAGCTCTAATCCTGTCTTCCATGAGAGAACCAAACACATTGAAGTTGATTGTCATTTCATTCGGGAAAAAATCATATCCGGAGATATCAAGACTGAGTTTGTTAACTCAAGTAACCAGTTGGCAGACATATTCACTAAGTCCTTACGAGGACCTAGAATTGATTATCTTTGTAACAAGCTTGGAACATATGATTTATATGCTCCAGCTTGAGGGGGAGTGTTAGATGTTAAGATGTGTGTTTCTGTTATTTGGGCTTAGTCTATTCTGTATTAAGGGCATTGGCCCATATCTTACAATATAAATAAACTACCCTATGTGTAGTCTAAACACATAAGGGATATTTTCTCCCAATCTTCTTTATTTCTCATAAACTCAATTAAAATTAACTCACTAAATGGGGAATCACCATATATTAGAGAAGAACACCACAATAGTAACAGTATTATCCAACAAGGCTTGTTTGAATTGCTCCCATGATAAATCATCTTCCTTGTTCATCAAAGAATTGAAGAAGTATATGGTTCCACCCTAAGCTGATCTAAACTGATAATTGGTCCCTTGCACTTGAAAATAAACTTCCACTCTGGTTATCCACCCCGCAGGATCATCTCCCATGAACATGGGTAGTTCCACCTTCTTGATTGATTGTCGAAATTCATCAAGTGCTTCACTCTGTAATTTCTTCAGGCCTCTGATCGTTGCAACCCTTTGTTTTCACCAATGACTTGTTTCATCCCTCTCGGGATCTTTTGTCTTCAGAGTATGGTTCCCTAAATGCTCTCCATTAGTTTTCCATGATCCTCACCCACAATTTTGAAAGCATCATCTGGGTGTAAAGCCTCCTACTATACCTATGAGTTGTACCTAGTTTTGTACCTAGAATTCTAGTGGACTCTTTTGATCTTTCATCTTCTCATTGTATCAAATTTCTATCACTATAAATAGAAGATCATAAGAGGGGTCTTTCAAGCCCTCCAAAAATATATTTTCTCTTTTCTAATCTTAAGTACCTTCATTCAATAATCGGTCTTATTCCTTTGAGCTTCTCTACTTAATAATGTTACTTGTTAGAAGTGGACTTCCAACATTACTGAAAATACAATTATTGAAAGAAGAAATGACAACACAAGGAGAATGTGTACATTATCATTGAAGGCCCAACACATAAGACTACTAGCATAATTAATAAGAATCCTAAAATGAAATAATAATTAAATAGCATCTATGAATACCTAAAAAGGGAAGCAGAAAGGTACCTCATTTTTAGCTGCTATATCTCTTCCACTCCCTTCAACTGGCCTCAAGGCAATTTCCAGATAATCACGGGGTGTTATTTTTCTGTTATCTTCTGTAAGGTCCAAATAAAAGTCCTGCAAGTATAAGGGTTGACAAATTAATGAAGTAAAAAGTGAGAATGTACAATAAAGTTACACTCTACTAAGATACCACCAAAGCGACAATATTTTGACACTTTTGCCCAACATATGTACACAACCTACCCTTAAAAGCCAAACAAAAATTGGGGAAAATTGTCCTAGCTCAGATGCAGAAGTCTTTCCTCCAGCTGCTCTAACACGAATATGCTTTGTCATTTGGGTGACCAGGGAAAGACGATCCAAGGCAGCCTCATCAATACCACCCATCTGGAAAAAAATTGTGAAATCAGCATTCCAATTTCAGAAAGAAATCCACAAAAGTTGGAAAACAGAGAACAAAGTTTCATGTTGTAAGAGAATCAAATTGAAATTGGAACAAAACCAAGGAACAAATGAACATGCTAGAAAGAATGTATAGGTTTGAATAAGCCATGCCAACCTGGTTATAAATGAACATGCTAGACAAAAGAACTGCCAGTGAGAATATCTGGGTACTGTATGTTCCCTGCGTAGTAAACAAATTGCTGAGTAAGACAAGTTAGCAAAGTTTAGAGATCGACTACATACATGTGAAAAAGAATATTCGATTAGAAAGCTGAAAAACTGACTGTTTGATCATAAGCATCTATTCCTTCACTGTCTAATAGCAGGAGATTATAATCTGTTCCATCAAGAGCAGTCCTTTTCAAAGGTGTACTCCACAACCAAAGCCCTTTGGTACAAGGCCGATGTGTTGACGCAACTTGAAATCCACTACTCTTTCCTAATAGCTGAAAAAAAAAAAAAAAAAAAAAAAAAAAACATAAGCCCAAAATCAAAAGTACACATTATAATAACAAAATAATGTTATAAACGTAAGTATATTTCAAGACTCGCAGAAATAAAACTGAGTGTTGAAGCAAACCAGTTGTTCATCTTTACCAAGTGCTGATTCAACTTTTATTCGGAGGAATTGAGAGGCGGAAAGAATATTCAAAATATATTGAATAAAAAGTACGCATACACAAAAAATTACTCCCACTAAGTAAAAAATCCAATGGCACCGAAAGAAGTATGAAAGTATTTATCTTCCACATACAACTCGAAACCAAAGGGAAGCAAAATCCACATACTAAATGCTGCACACGATACGCAAACGAGCAGACACTCTCACAATCACAAAACCACACTTTCCACTGTAGTCACTGAACCACTAGCCAATCAAGGACAGTCCCCAAACCTTCCAAGTAGGTTTCGAATTTAGCGTTCAAGTTACTTTATAACATCACCACGACCACAACAAGAAAACCGACATTTGTCCCACAATTAATCAAAACCAGATATGCAATACTTACATAAGCCGATACTGTATCATAAACACCATTTCCACTGAACAATCTACGGTTATCGCAAGGAACAGGCATCAAAGCATCAAAACCCTAACTACTAAATGCAACACTACACTCAAAAACCCTAAACTCCAACAGCGACGAGATTTTCACTCGAATTGAATAATTACCTGATTCAAGATGAAACTCTTGCCCTGCCGTGCACGACCGCAGACGGAGACGACGCCGATGGGCTCCTTGACCAGTTGTAGCGTAGCGACGGCTTCTGGATCCATGCGGAACTTCCCCTTCTCATCGCAATAGACGAGGCGTATGGGCCTGGCGGGGCCGGTGACCGGAGATGCCGACGAAGAAGACGGCGCGGCGACGGCGGAGGAGGGCGGGGACGCGTCGGCGGGGCTATCCCTGCCTCTGTTGAAAAGTTTGAGCATCTTTTTCCCTTTCTCGGGTACACACTTTTTTCTTCCCTCTCCCTCCGTTTCCGGGCTACTTTATGTCTGGATTTTCAGAGATTGTAATACCACTGTTTATTCCTATTATTTATTAATTGATTTAACTTTTTCTTTTGAGGCGGTTTAAAATTGGCAGAGAGGGAAAAGAAAAAGGTAGAATTACAGACACAAGGAGACTAGAATAGAGGTGTGTTTTGTTTCCTAACTTCTTTATCGATCAGAGCGTGTTATAAAAGCAACCATTTCAAAAGAAATTAACCGGGTTCGCCACTCCTTGATTTTTCCTACCGGTTTTGCTCCAATTTTATTTTTCAAAATTTAATAAATATTTGCCTTCAAATTTTTTACTCAATTAAAAATTAACATTTTAAATTAATTATTACAAAAAAATATTATAATATAACAATTTGTTAATAAAAATAATATCAAAATAATAATAGAGCATTTATTTTAAATACCTCAAAATACAAACTTATTTTTACAGTTCAATTAAGATTATAAATAGAAATATCATTTCTAAAAGTTGTAATTAATTTTAATTTTTTTATGCAAATAGTTTATGGTCTTTACGTTGAAAAAGTAAAAAATGGTAGTTTGAAACAGTGAAAGAAAAAAAAATCTTCTTAAGAAAAATGGGAGTTTTCTATATATGTTTCAAAGAAGAAAAGTGGAGAAAATATGTTGAAACTTGGCAACGGGTCGGACACGGATAGAGTGATTCCCGAATCCCACCCGCATATAAAAATTGTACCCGTTATCAGTCCCGCTATCCGTTGGATACCCGCATAAAAAAAATCCGTAGATTTTTCACTATCTACGGATACCCGTTGGATATCCGTTTTTAATAGTTTGTGCATTATTATCCAAGCTAAGGTGCAGGAAGCAAAAATAGGAAATAATAAAAATAATAAGTAGATAAAAACATATGAAAAAAAATTGATGGGTTGGCCCATTTACTCTTGTTTAGATCAGAAACCACTAGGGTTTCTTCTACTCAAACAAAGGGAAGCATCCTAATGGCCACCACCACCTCCTCCGACAACCCTTGCACTCTCTATGACCTACCACCACCACTCGTTTTGTTCGCCATTATCTCATATTTCCCACCACCACCACCTTCATCATTCTCTTCGTGCTTTCCGACCGCACGATCAGCGGGGCCACCGTGCTTTCCAGCTTCACCGTCGTCGCCACGCCCTCTACCTTGCTCTTCTCCCTGTACAGCGCGTCCAGCTGGTGGAAATAAGGGCATGTTTTCGAATCTTCCAGTCTCCGTTTGTTGCTTTCCTTCACTTTCTTGAAGTACTTGTTGATGTTCTCCCACTTCTCTTTGCACCTTTTCATGTTTCGGTTGTACTCGAGCTTCCTCATCGAGGACGAGATCTCCTCCCATAGAGAACCTTTTGGTCCGTTTTCTTAGTACTCTGCATCCAGGTTCGTTTAGAGCGGCAGAAGGCGGCCAACTCGGTGAGGAATGGGGGCCAACTTTCCTTATTCTGATTTGAAGAAGAAACCCTAATAAGGGATCCTTATTATGATTTGAAAAAACAAAATCCTAAAAGGGAGTTGGGCTAGGCCCAGCAGATTGAACAATAATCCAGCATATTTGTAAAGGAAGTAGGCCAGAGGAAGCCACTAGGGGAACTCTAGCCTACGTTGATTCACATGAAGTAAAGCCTAGAGTAATCTCGATAAAGTAACTCCACTACATTTATGAATGAATTTACATGAGGTAAGCTTCTCTATTTATAGGAGTAAAGGAGCAAATGACCTCCAAAAAAGAGAGAAAAACCTAGTCTAGAATTGAATTTGGAGTAAAAAAGAAAGCATACAACAAGTGTGACATGCCACATAAGCAAGTCACACCTCTCACGCCATGAGGAAATAAGACATATTTGTCACTATCCTAACTTTATATATAATTCTAGTTCCAATTGGTATATAAAGTCTTAAAATATTTATAGTTATGTCACTACACCACTTTTTATATCGAGTGAATTATAATCGATTTACAAAGTCGGTTTAAAAAGTTATTTTTGCACTAGAAAAATTCAAACCTTCACAAGAATATTTAAACCTTCCTATAAATGTTATTGTATCCCTGTCATTGCCGACTTGGAACAAACATGTTTATATAAATATCTTTTGTCCAACAAGACTTCATTAAAGACCTAAATTAGATACATTAATTACAGGAAGCTAAGACAACATAAATAGAAAACTACAAATTTGGCTACTAGTTACTAAATATCCTAGTTATTTTCTTTATGATCTAAACTATCTGTGTCCCATCAAATTTAGAAGCTATAGGCAAACATCTAGCGAATAATCATATGTTTGGACATCTCTACTCTTAGAAGTTGTACCAAACCTTGTTCGTTCCATATTACATGTCCTAAATCTAAGGAAAACCAAAAAGGCAGTGTTTGGAATCTCTACACAAGTACGCATTAAGGATTTACAACTACTTGTTAGAGTTTAGTCCAAGGTCTACTACCCCAAAAACTCATTTTTGAGAGATTTATCTTAGGAAGATGCATTTGATGCATTGATTAAAATGTTATGCATATATAATAACAAAGCTTCCCCATCCTTTGATACAACTATCCCAGCTTATTATACAAAATTTGTTGTCTCCCTCATCCCTACTGCTCACTTTCTTTCTAAATGATTTGACAACCATTTTTCTTAAGGACAAAACCTTTGGTGTTGTCTCATTTGCAAATATTATCAAAGGGAATGAGAGGATACTACAAAATTAAAATGAATATCTATAAATGATGAATTAATATTTTCTACTATTCACTTAGCCTATTGTACTATTTGATTAGGGAATTGTGCTTAATTGTCCAATATTTCCTAAGTTTTGATATTTGGGCTTAATTTGACCAATAACTCTTATTTTAATTAATTTGAATTATCTGAGACTAATTATTGTCATTATTAATTGTAGGGAAATTTTTGGACTATTATTTTGTGACATTAAGGGGCAGACGTATCATTCTCCACTTGCCACATCAGCATTTTTAATTTAATTTCAATTTTAATTTCGTTTTTAAGTCTTTTTGGACCGATTTAGCACATTGGCCCGTTTTTGGTCATTTTTAGGATTAGGCCCATTTTGTATTCTGACCTAGGGTTGTGTGCAAAAAGGGGGCAGACCCCAAACACACCACTCACTCTCTTATTTACATTTTCTAAGCTTTGGACAACAAGGGAGAGCTCCCCCCAATTTGGGGTTTTAGGTTTTTCATTTACATTTGATGCACTTTCAATTCCAGTAATGTAATTTCATTTTCTTCTCTTAGCAATTTCGATTCTGCACTTTAAATTTCATTCACATTCTCGCATTGCAATTCGTTTTGAGTTCTTTGATTTGCATTTTTCTACTTTCGTTTGCTGCATTGCGTTTTTCATTCCCATAACGTTTTGCATTTCGTTCTCCAATTGCTATGCCAATTTCATTTTCCTTTTGCTGCATTGAATTTAGTTACATGGAAGCTTAAATCCATTTGGGTTGGTGATTAGTGACTTGCAAGGTTTTTGGAGCTTAATTTTCATTTTGTTTTGTGTGCCATGCATATATGCTATTTGTTTTGTACAATTGGTTCTCGCTTAGTGGTTTAGTTTGAGGATGATAATCTTCGCTTAGTTGATTACTGTGTGTGCAGAATTGATGAATTTGTGTGAGTGTGTTTGCTTAATTAGCATTTTATGAAGACCGTTTTAGACTTCGTTTAGTTGTCTAGTTTCTCTTGGATTAAGGGTTGTAAGCTTGAATATCTGATATAAATCTGTTATTGGAAACAAGTGCAGTTGAGCTAACAACAACCTGCCTTTAATCTGTGTTTGAATCTGTGTTTAAATTGTGTGTTAATTAGTCCATTTCATTTCACAAAACCACCTTCAAACCCCCCACCATGTGTTCAATTTAATTCCTGAACCACATTTGGTCCTTAAGAGACGACCTATGGGTCATTCTCCTAGTTATACTGCATTTCTAATCGCTCATTAATTTGATTCGGGTACAACCTCGATCAAATTTAGCGCCATTGCCGAGGACCAACGGTTCAGTTTTGGCTCTACTTTAGTGTGTGTTCTATGTTTTGTGTGGAGCTGTCAATTTGACCCATGACCCCGGAGCTAGCCCTAACCCACTCTTGAAAAAGCCTCCTCTTAAGAAGCCCATCAAATGGGAGCCAAAAAAAAGCCCCAACCCCCAAAGCCCCCTCTCAAGGGGGTTAGGGTCAGGGTTAAGGTTGGTTTAGCCCCACTAAAAAATTTTGGAAACTAAACTTCAACATTCTCATTGTAACTATTAAAAGTACTAAATTTTATATTCATGTAATTGATTTCTTATTTCAAATTATTAAATAAAACTAATTAATTATAGTTTAATAGAATATTTAATATTCAAAATAACCACTTTTTTAAATAATTAAAAACAATTGCAAACCACACACTTAATTTTATACAACTAAATAGTATTACAAATTTATTTTACTAAAATATTATAAAAATGCTTTATTTTGTTGTCAATTTTAATACAATTATGTCTTATATTGTAGACACCAATTATTAGAAAATTATATATAATTAGTAATATCAAAATAACCCCAAAGAGAGATAATAACATATTAAATTGATTTAATATTTGCACTGTTTTTACAGTTCTTAAAAAGAATCATTGTTTTGTTTTCTCGACTTCTAAAATATCACTCAATCTGTTTTTAACTATTTAAAATTAAAAATAATTCAAAAATTTATTATCTAAAATTTTTGGATCATAAATAGTATTAATATTTTATGTGTAAATTAAACTTATGTTTTCTTTTTGTTTTTTTCTCTCTTGTAATCTTTTCTCAAAATCACCATAAGATATATTATAGGTTTAATAGGTTCGGAGGTCCCTATATTTGCGGGTTCATTTCAATTGGGTCCTCCAATTTTGGAAGTGATCAATTGGGTCCCTAATTTGGTCAATTTGATTCAATAATAGCATTTTCATTAAATGCAGTTAACGACGTTAACTTTTTTAAGCTGAGGCATCCAGGTGGCACCGTTTGAGCTGTATAGGTGAATTTTTAACATTTTTTAATTGTTAAATATATTAATAAATGAAAATATAATTAGAAATTATTAAACATATTAAATTATTAAACATATTATATCTAACTAATTCGAGTTTGTATTTGTTCTAGAGGGGCGGCTGAGTTAGCTGTGAGAAGATTTAGTTGTAGTAGTTGATTTTTTAGGTTTTATATTTTGTTTTTAATTCAAGATTCCTAATGTATGTATGGAACTTTTTTCTTAGAAAATGGCTTTAGGTGGAACAGATCCTCCAAGAGGAAGTGCAGCTGCTACTGCAAACATGAGGAGGAGGAGAACAGCCGGTGGTGGGGCCTCTGGAGGAGCAACTGGAACTATGCTCCAATTTTACACTGATGATGCCCCTAGACTCAAGATCTCCCCAAATGTGGTTCTTGTAATGAGCATTGGCTTTATAGCATTTGTTGCTATCCTTCATGTGATGGGAAAGCTGTACTTTGTGCGTAGGGAGGCTTAGAAGAGAAAAGATTTAGGTCGATTTTGGAGATCGTGACCAGTATCTCCCTAAATGCCACCACAATGCCATTTCCACCAACGAACCCTAAGTTCGCAGATTTCCCCAATTTCTCACACACAAGCTACCCCAGAAACATTGCTTTAATATGTTTAATAATTTCTAATTATATTTTCATTTATTAATATATTTAACAATTAAAAATGTTAAAAATCCACCTATACAGCTCAAACGGTACCACCTGGATGCCTCAGCTTAAAAAAGTTAGGGTTAAATATGTTTTTAGTCCCTAAACTATTGGCCGTTTCTGGTTTTCGTCCCTCTTTCAAAGTAAGGTACGATTTGGTCCTCATTCTTTAGAAAAACGTTCGTTTTAGTCCTCAAAATTTTGTTTTTAGTTCTCGTTTTAGTCCTCAAAACGTTCGTTTTTTCGACTAAAACGAACGTTTTTTAAAGATTGAGGACCAAATCGTACCTTACTTTGGAAGAGGGACGAAAACCAGAAACGGTCAATAGTTTAGGGACTAAAAACATATTTAACCCAAAAAGTTAACGTCGTTAACTGCATTTAACGAAAATGCTATTACTGAATCAAATTGACCAAATTAGGGACCCAATTGATCACTTCCAAAATTGGAGGACCCAATTGAAACGAACCCGCAAATATAAGGACCTCCGAACCTATTAAACCTATATTATAAAAAGAAAGTTTATTTCTTAAAAATTTATAGAAAAAATGAAAATTTTAAATAGACCTAAAAGTACTAAAGAATGACAAATATTATAGTGTTTCAACTCTTTAACTAACACATTAAATAATTTATTTTTAACTTTCAATTAGAACACATAACATAAATGTATGTTATGACATTTAAAATGTAAACATTTTGAGTTAGTAGTACGACGAGATTGAATCCTATGGGCGAATACAACTGCAGCCTGCACAAGGTTTATGAGTTTTCTCTTTTTACTTATTATTTATGTTATGAGCATGATTTGTTGAGTATTAAATGAAAAATAAAATCATTTATATTTAATTTCTTTCTCAATAGCTTTCTAAAAAAATAAAGAAGCCTCATTTTTTTTTTAAAATTAAGAGCTTCAATTAGAGAAAATCTTCTCTAAAATTTCAATTAGGATAATTTTAGATAGAAAATTAATTTCTGACTTATAACCTAAAAAAGCGAAATTAAATATTTAAATTTCAAATTTATAAAATGATCCTTTAATTATATACTTAGAGAATCTAACTCAATAAATATTGTCATTTTGCTTTTGCTTCTTGATTCTAGAACTCTCCTCCTATAGTAACTATTTTTTTAACAAATTAGGAGTTAATTATATTTTTTCTTGTATTCAAAATGAACATTTTTTCTAAAAAAAAGGCTCATGGGTTGGCCCTGGTCCACAGGGTTTCTGAAGATATTTTGGCCCCGTGGGCTTCTTCTACGAGGGGATTTTTGGTCCTGTGGATTTTTATGGCCCCAACCCACGTGGGTTAGGGCCAAACCATGTAAGGGGGGCCTTGATGGGTCTAGTTTTGTGTGTGTTTTGTGAGTTGTGCAGCTGGCGCTGAGCAGCACTGGGTCAAGGGCCCTGAGCGACACTTCTGTAGTTTGTGAATAGTGTTAGCTTTTGTCTAATTAATAGGCATTTCTGGGTTTGATAGCTAGGGGTCTTATTTTTTATTAAAATTTGGTGTGCTCACTTCTCTTACTACATATTTTGATAGAAAAATCCTAGAAACACCACTGGTAGTCCAGATTCTGTTTTGTGAAAAATGGGCAAGCCTCAACTTTGCAACAACATAACTTCTGTTCACGATGTCAGAATTGGACATATCATATGTGTTTTTTCGGTAAAAAAATATGAGCTATTGATTCCTTGTTGCTTTAGCCACGGGCCCATGCCTCTAATTCCAAAAAGAGACCGTTTTCTATTTTTTTTATTTTGAAGTTTTATTTCTACCGTTTTTCTCACTTTTCTGTGTCAGTTAACATAGTTATACTTTGAGTTTTGTTTTGAACTTTTTGTGTTATCTTTTCATGATTTTTGAATGTTAGTCACAAATTTTCAGCCCATTCTGATTTGGTTTGCATATACTTCATGTTTATCTCCCTATATTTCACTATGTTGACTTTTGCTGATAAGAGTTGACTTAGTGCATGACTAAGGGCAATCTTGGACAACTACTACCCTTTGATCCTAAAATTGATAGAACTTTTCATATGTTAGCTAGACATTCTAGGAATTTGTCTTTAGAGTCAATCCCACTATTTCAATCCATACCATTAGAGTTTATGCATTTAGATACCATTAGTTTGCATAGTACTGAGCAATCTCCTTTTGTGTCTACTGTTCCATATTTTGTGCATTCTGCATCTTCTACATCTACTGCATCTGAAAATAATTCTGAAACTGTTTTTCATCATATTACTGAGAACAATACGACTCAACCTCCACCTCGCGAGAGGACTCTTAGGGAGATGGTTGCACCTGATTTCACCTATGAAAGCTTGTGCATCCAATATCCTAATGAGGACGTGCCATATGTTCTCAAGACTGGACTGATCCATTTGTTGCCCAAGTTTCATGGTCTTGTAGGTGAATGTCTGCATAAACATCTAAAATAGTTCCATATTGTGTGTTCAACGATGAAGCCTCATGATGTTCTTGAAGATCGCATCTTCTTGAAGACATTCTCGCATTCTTTAGAAGGTGTGGCAAAGGATTGGCTATATTATCTTACGCCCAGGTTTATCACTAGTTGGGATGATTTGAAGAGATTGTTTTTGGAGAAGTTCTTCCCAACCTCAAGGACCATGGCCATAAGGAAAGATATTTTTGGAATTAGGCAGCTCGGTGGTGAAAGCTAATATGAATACTGGAAAAGATTTAAGAAGCTTTGTGCAAGCTGCCCACACCACTAGATCTCTAAGCAAGTCCTTCTCTAATACTTTTATGAAGGTCTAAACAACATGGAGAGGAGTATGATACACGCTGCTAGTGGTCCCTTGGTGACATGACACTTGCTGAAGCGAGACATTTGATTAAGAAAATGGCTTCTAACTCCCAACAGTTCAGCGCGAGGAATGATGTTATTGTTGTTAGGGGAGTTCATGATGTGGGTGTTTGTTCCTCATTTATAAATAGAAAGATAGAGAGCAAGCTAGATACTCTTGTCAATTTGGTGACTCAACTGGTTGGGAATTAGAATCAGAAGTCTACAATTGTTGCAAGTTTATGTGGTATTTGCCCTTCTAGTGACCATTACACTGATGTTTGTCCATCTTTACAACAACATTTTGGCCTTGATGCTCCTCAAGCTTATGTTGCAAACATTTACAACAACAGGAACTCGTAACCAAAACAACAAAATTATGACCTCTCTAGTAATAGATACAATCCAGGGTGGAGGAATCACCCTAATTTGAGATGGTCCAATGCCCCGCAACAAGAACAACTACAATTTCCACCACCAACACCATTCCAGAATATTTCTGGTCCGAGTAGACCGTTTATGCCTCCACCACCAGTCCAGCAATACCAGAGGCAATAATAACAACATGATGTGACTGTACCAGCAGCTCATCCTCAACCTTTCATTTCTCAACCTTCATTGGATGAGTCAGTCAGGCAGATGATTATCCAGGATATGAAATTCTAGCAAGAGACAAGAGCTTCCATCCAAAGCCTGACCAATCAGATGAGGTAGATGGCCATACAGCTAAATCAAGCACAGTCCCAAAATTCGGACAAATTGCCTTCTCAGATTGTGCAAAATCCTAGAAATGAAAATGTTAGTATCATCACCCTAAGATCTGGGAAGCAAATTCAGATACCCATAGTGTCACCTCCGGCACCTACACCTCAGCCTCACCCTGTTACATCTCAAAGAAAAGAGGACCAAGCAGGACATTTGAGGTAGGTAGATCCTCTTCCTGTTCCGGTGGTTCTTCTCTTCTTCACGTAGACTTTCTTCTTCTACCACCAACATCACCATCAGTGTATCTCCTGACATGCAGCATCGACCTATCCCTCTTCCATTTCCTCTTAAAGTAATTCAAAGCAAAAATGTGAAAGAGGTCGATAAGGATTCCTAGATATGTCAAATTCTTGAAAGAGCTATGCACCAATAAGAGGAATATGAAGGAAAATGAAAGAGTCAGCATGGATAGAAATGTATCTGCACTGATAGGTAAATTTGTACCTCACATTCCTAAAAAATGCAAAGACCTAGATACATTTTGCATCCCTTGCATGATTGGAAATAACAAATTTGAGAATGTCATGCTTGATTTGGGTGCTTCCATAAATGTCATGCCTCTATCAATCTTTAAATCTCTTTTTCTTGGAACTTTGCTACCTACGGGTGTAGTCATACGGTTAGCAAATAAGAGTCTTGCCCACCCCACTGGTTACATAGAGGATGTTTTAGTTAGGGTTGGAGAACTCATTTTTCGTGCTGACTTTTACATTCTTGAAATGGAGGAAGGATTTTCCCGTAGGTTTGCCCCAATTATCTTAGGCAAACCATTTTTGAAAAATGCACTAACTAAAATTGATGTTTATGTGGGTACCTAGTCATTGGAGTTTGGCGACATCGCTATTCATTTTAATATCCTTGATGCCATGAAAAATCCATCTGAGGACCAGTCTATTTTTTGTGCTAAGATACTTGATTATGCTATTGTTAAGCATGTTTCTACTTCTCACTCTTTGCATGATACCAACCACTTTTTGCCATCACATGTGAATGCTTCTTTTCCATGCATTGAACATGAATTTGAGATTGTTGTTGATATTGAGTCTAAATCTAAACCTCATTCATGTTCTTAAAGTATATTTGATGTTCATCCCGATACATTGGGAGTGGGAGTTATACCTCTCCATTTAAATTCTGTTGACTTGGAATGCACTAACCTTATTGCAAGAGGTACGCATAAATCTGACCAGCAAGAGCCCAAGGTTGAAATCAAAGGCCCATACAAAGACAAAAGCTTCAAGGACAGCGGGCATCGACTGAAACCGCTCATCAACAATCCTTCCTTGGTAGATGTAGTTGTGAAAGAGACTTCTCTGCTCAATCAAGTTTGGACTCTTCCACCCTGACTTGGGGAGCTTTTGTTTTTCTCTCTCCCTATCCACTTTTAATAGACTTGTCCATGATCTGTTGATTGTATTGACTACTCTGATCTTATTGTTTTTGACACACTGAGGACATTGTGTTGTTTAAGTTTGGTCTATTTGGGGAGATTTTGATTTTTCATTGTTAGTTTTTGTTTCTTTGTTAAATTTTTTCTTTTCTAGGTTTTTTTGTTGTGTCTTGTGTACAATTTTTCATGTTTCACTCGCTTTCTGGACTTTGTTTAGGTTGTAGACTCGTCCTTCGCTTCATTGATACTATGATTGGTTTGAAATCCTTGCTTTTCTATGTTTGGAAATATAATTATGATGTTAGAGAGATTGATGAAACTGTGATAGAAATACCTTGTATGAGAATTTGAGCCACTTGATGTCTTTCTTGTGTGTGATATACCTTTTGATTGCTTTCACATATGCCTTGACTTGAATCTGGTTGATAATTCTTTATTGATATGCTTGTTTGGAAGCGATAAAGGCAATTTCATTCTTGAGCCTCTCTAGCCAAATAAGCCAACCTTGTTTTAGTCCTTTGATAACCCCTTTGAGCCTATGCTTTCCCTTTTCTTTGTTTTGAAGCTTATTAATTACCCTTAAGTGAAAAACCATGATTACCTTAACCTTAAGGAATTTTCAAGCTTTGAAATTGTTTTGGGAACAAGTGTGGTATTCCTAAGGATTATGATGATTTTGCTAGTTAGTTCCTCTTCTTGGTTGTGTTGAAAATATGTTGTGTTGTGTATCTTGTCTCTTACAGTCAGTTGTGTTCTAAAAAAAAGAGAAAAGAAAAGAGACAAGACAAGAAAAGAAAGAAAAAAATAGAAAAAAATGAGAAAAATAAAAAATTTTGAATAATGGAGTTTAGAAGAGGATTGAATTAGAGATTTTTGGGTGTGATCTGATTGTATCTTCACTTGTTCCCCATTGCTCTTCTATTCTTTTTGGTTTGTAGCTTCTAATCCATATTTTATCCTTTCTTGTCCTTGGCCCTAGTAATCCCATGAAAAGAGCTTTTGATTTGAACATGGATATGGTTTGAGTGTTGATATTAGAGGTTTGCCAAACCTACTTGTTGCTTGCTTTCTTGAGTGCATTAAGTTCACATTGTTTACCCTAGACACTTAAGAGATACAATGATATTGCATCTGTGAGGTTCTATTGTTTTTGATTCACCTCTTGAGCTGATTGATTATTTTGCCATGTATGGAATTGCTTGGATGATTACCTTGACTATCTTGTTTCTCTGATTCTTAGTGTTTAGATATTGTCTACTCCTTTTCTTTTTCCAGGATGCATTGAGGATTGTTTAAATCAATTTGTGTGTCTTTTTGTTTCTGTGTGTTGAGGTTGTGTCACTCCCCTAATGTCCTTTGAATTGTTCCTTGATTTGCGTCTTGATTTTGCTTAGGAGTACAAAAGTGTGGTTTATTTTGATGAATCAATATTTTCTACTATTCACTTAGCTTATTGTACTACATTTGATTAGGAAATTATGCTTAATTGTCAAATATTTCCTCAATTTTGATATTTGGGCTTAATTTGACAAATAATTCTTATTTTAATTAATTTGAATTATTTGATGCTAATTATTGTTTGACAAATATTTTTTGGATTATTATTTTGGGACATTAAAGGGATGCCACATCATTCTCCACTTGCCACATCAACATTTTTAATTTAATTTCAATTGTAATTTCGTTTTTAAGGCTTTTTTGGACAGATTTAGCACATTGGACCGTGTTTGGTCATTTTTAGGATTAGGCCTATTTTGTATTCCGACCTAGGGTTGTATGCAAAAGGGGCGCAGACCCCAAACACACTTCCCACTCTCTCATTTACGTTTTCTAAGCTTTGGACAACAAGGGAGAGCTCCCCTAATTTGGGGTTTTAGGTTTTTAATTTACATTGATGCACTTTCAATTCGAGTAATGCAATTTCATTTTCCTATCTTAGAAATTTCGAGTCTGCACTTTAAATTCCATTCTCATTCTCGCATTGCAATTCGTTTTGAGTTCTTTGATTTGCATTTTTCTACTTTCGTTTGCTGCATTGCGTTTTTGATTCCCATTACGTTTTGCATTTTGTTCTCCAATTGTTATGCCAATTTTGTTTTCCTTTTGTTGCATTGAATTCGGTTTCATGGAAGCTTAAATTTGTTTGGATTGGTGATTAGTGAGCTGCAATGTTTCCATGAGGATTTTGGAACTTAATATTCTGTTTTTTGTGTGTGCATAATTGATGAATTTGTGTGAGTGCATTTGCTTAATTTACATTTTATGAAGACCGTTTTAAACTTCGCTTAGTTGTCTATTTTTGCACTTGAGCTTCTACACACACATCCACAAGCTTCAAATTAAAATATCATAAATGGACAATAGAGACAAAAGAGATATTCACATAATGTTCTTCACTTGAAGCAGTGTCTAAAAGAAAGTATAACCTACTTCAAGCAAAATACTGAAAAAACATGCTTGCTCTGACAAGTTGACTTTAACCAACGACTGTCGTACACAAAGAAAGAGAAAACACAAGAATCAAGGTTAAGAGCTTAGTCTAAGGGACACTTATCCAAAATCCCTTTAAATAGAAGATCATTGAAATGAAGAAAAAAGAGGATAATATACAACGAAATATTCATCCTTTCAAAAGTGTTCAATATAAAAGCACAAAAAGAGCTCAACAAAAAGAAAACATATGAGTAGAAAAAGAAAAGAAGATAAAAGAAGAAAGACAATACTCTCGAGCTTTATTGTAATATTGTTTACTAATTATAAGAAAGAGAAAAAGAAAAAAAGAAAGAAACACCTACGAGTTTTGATACTGCATTGTATTGTAATCACATCCTCTTTGCGAGAGTAGTAGTCTGAACAACTTGTAAGCAATCGTTGAATTAAATTCTGAAAAGAATCAAAACACTTGTTGAACTTAGTTAAGCTAAGAAAATCTAGGCAAGATTGCTTAGTACTAGGAATGATGCGAATACTCATCCAAGCTAAGGTAACAAGAGGTTATTCATTGACTCAAGAGACCAAGAATGGTGGGAATACTCATCCAGTCTAGGGTAATAGGAAGTTATTCGCTCATTGAGAAGACTAGGAGTGGTGCGAATACTCAGTTGTAATATTATTGAAGATTATAGTGAAACTATGTTTTTATCTCTTATCTTGCTTAAACATTTATCTTATAAAACTTGGAGCTGTGTTTTTATCTCTAAATACAATAACCTTTCGCACTAAACAATTATTCTTCAACAAAGAAAGTTCCTACAAATCCTGCAATTTATATTCTGAGTAGCATGTCAAAAATAACAATATTTTATTAGGTCGAGCATCTAAATCATTTAATAGAAAACTCAAAACTCAACAACATGCTATATAAAAAAGGTTGCAAAATTCTTTTTCCATTAAGACTACTCTTTTGTGAGACACATGGTGCTTCCGTGTGGCAGATTCCTAATGAAAATGATTTCTTCTTAATAGTTTTCATGTGTCATACTCCTAATGATAAGATTTTCCTTAGTAGTAACCATGTATCATTCTCTTAATAAAAAAAAATTACCTTGATCTCCAAGTTAGAATATTAAGATTTTATTTTTACAATTTGGAGACACTTTTAGGACTAAGTTTATAAATAGATGTGCCTCCTCGTATAAATTTACTTTTAAATTGAATATTGTTATATTATCAAATTTGTGTTATACTATTGAACTTAAGTCATTAAGGCTAAAATATTACTTCTAAGTTTCCTCTAGTCACCCATTCTTTAAGAATTGGTCCAACCTCTTTTCATATCATTGAAACACCACTATAGTTTGTCCTTTGTTTGTTTGTCCCTTGCTTGAGTTACTAAGAGAGAGATATTTTATATTTTATATAATTTTGGATTCACTTTAAAACTTAAGCATATTTTGGATTGCGTTTTGCACAAACATCAGAATTTCTAAATATGTTTATGTAGCGCAAAATTTAACGAGTATGAAGTTAAATGATTCATGAACTTCGGAAAAAATAACATGCAATCTGAGGATAAGATTGCAAGGAGAAACACAACATAACTACCATATTTAGTTGCGAAAAGAACAACCACTATGAATAAACTATTAATGCACCATTCAGGACTGGAGGAAAAAATAAATGGTAGAACCTATATCCTCTGTAACCAAAATGACATCAGGTATATAGGAAAAAAAATACGGGTGACTACTATGGAGAAATGAAAAACAACAAGAATAACGACAATTTGCCTACGAGTTTATGTTACTAACATGTTAATATCATGTTCTATAATTCTATAACTATAAATGATACTATAATATAATAGATAATAGTTAAATAAAGCAATGGAGGATTAAAATAACATCTCACATCTAAAATGGGAGGAAAAGGGCCAAAGGAAACCCATTTTCACTATTCATGCCCAATATATTAAACCCCTTCCAGCCATCCTCTTTCTAAGTTTTTAAATACATTCTTCTTCTCTTTTGGTTGGCACGCAGCATATGCCATCTAAAAGATCTGACAAGAAAAGGAAGTGCTACGATGAAATCATTTGAGAAAAGAAAAAATTCTAAATCAGTAGAATAATACATATTTATATCCCAAAAATTAGCTAATTCATCGAAAATCAAATTGGGGCTATCATGTTACCTACAAAATGGAAACAAGTTCTTATTTACATGTTTGACGGCTGGACCATGAGGTTCGCATAATTAAACGAAAAATTTACATAAATGTTGAAGGCACAAACGCTAGATATACACATACAAATAGCTGAAGCTGACAATAAATTCTTTTAAAATATAGAAGACCTAAGTGAAACTGAATCTAGGAATATGAAAAGATGAAAAAATTCTGCTATTTACTCCCACATTATTTGCATTAGGAATCCTCCATGAAAAGAACGAAAGATGCCCATGTAGCAGCAAAATCTTGTGTACAACTTAAGTGAACATATCTAGCGTAAGTGATATCCAATCAGATCTCTCTGCCAAGCCAGGATGCAGATGATATGCATTTGCAAGTCATTAATATTAGATTCACCAAGTTTGTACACCCAATATAATAAACACGAATGGAGGCTATGAGACAACAGAGAACGCCTTGTGTTGCCTTGGCATCATAACAGCCAATTGCAGCTCACCTTGTTGGCATAACTTCACTGGATCTTTGAATAAGGTGATCCTTGCGACATTATTTCCCATTAATGCAACAAATGCAATGGTATAAGATTCGCTTCTATCCTTTGCAAACTGCCACTCTCTCAGAGATATGTTGAACCAGTCCTTTTTTGGAGATCTGGTTGCTTTGACTTCTATAAACTCTTCATTGTTATCTTCCCCAATGACTAAATCATATGGAAGTCCAGTTTCATTAATTTCATTAACCCACCTTACAGAAGTCTTGCCAACTTTGTCAACAAAGTATTTGCATGCAAGAAACTCACCTAATCTGCCAGTAACCTTCCCTTGGTTAGCATCAAAGGTGCCAGTTTGTAGTCGTTCTCTGTTGCAAAATGCTGGCAAACTAAAATGAGCTTCATCCATAGATTCATCTATAGCTTCATCCAAACCAACAGAATCAGAATCAGCATGGATACTAACAGCAGAGGGCTCAAAAAGATTGCATGATTGATCTTCAAAGTTCACATTATTATGCAACACTAGCGCCACAGAACTTGCTGATGGATCTTCCTTAATGGTCCAGTCAACAGTAAGTGATTCTTGTTCAGCACAAAATGGTGGGGAAATTATGCTTCCAGAAATATCATCCTTCTTCATTTCCGAAAAGCTGCTAATCTGAGCTGGTTTGGTCTTGAAACCATTGGCCCGGGCATAACTGAAATCTGGTGCAGTTTTCCAATCAGCAGGTGGCCAGTTGGGGCATACTGCAGTCTTCCTTCTTTGAAAGATCTGTTCATTTGCTGATGGAACACGATCTGAAGGTTTCAAAGTATCAGACTCTGCAAGTGAAGAAACAGAAGACAAAGTCCAAACAGGTTCTTCAACCGGAAGTTTGGGTACTTTTTGGCTATTCAAAATGAAAAATTCTATTTGCTCCTCAGAGGATCCAGATTCTGCCATGGTTGTTATCATATGAAGGAAATTTGCCATGTGCAATTCAGAAGTCCTATCTAATAATAAACTAGAGAGCTCCAGGAATAATGAATGATAATCTGATTCTTTAGTGGTGTAAAAGTTGTTGCCCTGTAAGTAACAACATACGAACACATTATATAAATACATGTTCAGCAGCGAAACATTATTTCAACAAAAATTGTGACTTACAACAGGTAACTAAATTGTAATTTATGCTTGAGATACAGATTGCTTTCTACCATACTTTAATGATGAAGTACTGATATACTAAAATGTTTGATCTATGCAAAGAAATCCTCAATGCTTTCTAGCATACTTTAATAATGAAGTACATAAATCCTAAAAATTTCCAGCATTACTGATGATGAACTGAGAATCAAATCGTACACAGGAAATGTCAACCCAAAAAAGGATGGCACATGTTCACATTTTAATTATTAAAGAAAATTAAAAATTTGAAGAAATTATTCTCTTCTCATATGCAGGATGCCTAAATACCACTTAGAAAAAAGAAACAAAACCAATCAAGTGTGGGGCATAATTCAAATCTCTGGTCAAGGTGAAAAAAATTGATCTTTCAAACTAAAAGTTGCCTACTTCAATGTTTTATATTAGAATCCAAGTGAACACTTCCATCAAGTTTGGTTCAGTTTCATGAAGAACATGCATCCAGATAAATGATGCAGCGTTTAGATAAAATGTTTTGAATCAAACATACCTGCAAAAGACAACTACATTCAACTCGTCTTTTCGACACAATGCCACAGGTCTTTATAACATTTCTGTAGAACAGCTTCTCAACAACAACGACTTTCAGATGTTTCAAAATATCAAAACCAGAATGCTTCAGTTTATCGTATTTATCGGTATGAAATTTATGAATGTAGCGCTGCGCATATGGCAGAGCCCAGTTTACCAATTACTTTTTTGAACTAGAATCAGCATGACCATAATATATTGGTTCCCGAGTTACCACCTGCACAATGTCATTGCATTGATGTAAATTCTGAAGTATAGGATTGTATAAAAAAAAAGATAAAATTAAATATTAACAGAGTACAAGGGAAAATTTTGAAACTTATTCCATCGTATGAAATAAATCTACCCATAAACTTATAATAATCCTTTTTTAACATAACCCCACCATCGGGGTTCACTCTAGAGGGTAAAATGCAGGAGATTGCCATTAATTGGGAAATCTTGAAGTTGTTATAAAGGCATGCATGTATGAAATGTAGAAATAAATCTCCCACAGTTTTTGTGCACAAGTGAACAAACAACAGTACACATTCTTTTTCTTTCGAAAATAACTTGCTTCTTAATAGGAACCAATGCTCTAGCAATGGAGATAGCTAAAGGGTGGTGAGACCAGCAGTGATGGTTGGGTCAGTGGGAACATCCAAGCTATAAGTAACAATCTTTACTTATTATTACTACCCTGTCTAAACCCACACTCCAAGCCAGATAAATATAGAACTGACTATAGCATTGGATAAAAAGTACCATCCAGATAAATTTTAAACTAGCTATGTGTTCATCAACCAACATATAGGGTCTGTTTAGAAGCAACATATAAAATAGGAAAAATTGAAATTACTTTCTATGTAAGTTAAATATAGTATATGCATAAGCTAATTTATAGAAGCTCTCTTATATAGTTTCCACAATTTTATTTTTATCCTGAACATTCTAATTGTTTATATAGTTTCCACAATTATAAGGAGAGGTTTGAAGGAAGCTTTTATCATCAGAGTTGAAGAGTTTGTGGAGACAGCTCGACGATATGAATAGTATGCTCTTGATGGAGGGATTCGATGTCCATGCATCAAGTGCGAATGTACAAGGATTTTGAAAGATGAAGTCGTCAAAGTTCACCTATACCAAAAAGGGTTCATGCTTAATTACACGGTTTGGACATTTCATGGTGAAGAAATTCCTTCCACCTCCAATGTAGCTGAAAAGCGGCTTGCATCAGGTTCGAATACTATTGTACATACATCTGAGATAGATCAATTTGCTAATATGCAAGAGATGGTCAACAATGCTCTTCGTCGACATGTTGAACAAGAAGTAGCGATAGTCATGATGAAGAGTCTCCAAATGAAACCACTCAGAGGTTTTACAATTTATTAGCAAAGACAAATCAACCTGTTTTTTAAGGATCAACTGAGTCAAAATTGTCAGTGTGCATTAGACTGATAGCCTGTAAATCTAATTGGAACATTCTTAATCAAGCATTGGACTTCATATCAAAATTGGTATTAGATCTGACACCTTCAAACAATTCTTTGCCGAAGAATTATTATTAAGCCAAAAGATGTGTTAAATCGCTAGGATTGGAAGCCAAGAAGATTGATTATTGCGTTAATGGATGTATGTTATTCTATGACAATAACAGTGGCAAAAATGATGCATTGTTGGTTGAATGCAAGTTTTGTAACTCACCTCGATATCATACGATGCATGCAGGAAGGAGGCAAAAAAAAACAAATTCCCTTGAAGTCCATGTTCTACTTGCCTATAATTTCAAGATTACAAAGAATGTTTGCTTCAATGCAAACATGACAACACATGACATGGCATGATGGTAACAAAACTGAAGGAGTTTTGCGCCATCCTTCTGATGGCGAAGCTTGGAAGCACATTGTAACACCCTAGTTCTTGGTATGCCACGGGTTTACAAAAACGTTATAAACTTAACTCTGATACCATCGCGAAATACAAATTAAATAAAAACTTATATTTATTATAACTGAATTTAGAAAACTTCGTAAATCAAATGTAACTATAAAGCATTCATAGAATCTCGTTACAAATCAATTAGCACTGAAATTAAAATCCCCTAGTTCTCCCATGTATATCGTTGCTCAAATTCGCTTTAGCTACATCTATAACAACATCTACTCCCGTACAAGTACGATCATCGCAGGTGAAAACCACAATCACAACATGCAAGGGTGAGCTAACAGAAATAAGTCATATAAACATACATATGTATTAAGCATAAACTTAGAGTAAGATTTCTAAATAATACATATATTCTTACATCTACACACATCTCAATACGTCACGAATCATAAAATCATTAACAACTGCATTATTATAATCCAAAATCACCAGCATATAACCACACAATTATTTCGTCAAGTTGCCTTTGAAGTTGGAAGAGCTGTTAGGTTAAAGAAGTTGTCTTTGAAGTTTCTTAGGCCATATCAGGTTCTCAAGAGGATTAGGTCAATATCGTATGAGAAAATGATACCATAGCAGTTAGCGAACTTGTATAATGTGTTCCATGTACCTTAGTTGAGAAAGTGTGTATCAAGTCATGTTTGTGTGCTACGCAAGTTAGAGAGGATTTAACCTTAGATATTAGACAAGTAGGAGTGTTGGACGTCTAGACCAAGAAGCTTTGTGGCAAGGATATTTGTATGGTAAAGGTGTTTTATGATGAAGGAATACAAGGAACGACCTAGGAGTTGATTGACTACATGAAGAAGGAGTATTTATATCTTTTCGTTGAGTAAAAAAAATTTCGAGGACAAAAATTTTGGATTGAGAAGAATATAAGACCAAGGAAAATTTATTGTAACAAAGAAATGTTGTAAATGTATTTTTAGTGTATCTCAATAAGAAGTTGTATGTTTATCACAAGTGAAAGGTAGCACAAATGGTTAGGGCTTCTTGTTTGGGTTGGTGGTCATGCGTTCAATTTATGTTGGATGCATAAAAATGTTAATTTATTTTAATTCTATTCTTTATTGATGTGCAACGTATGTGTAACAAGTGGTGGAGTGTTATTTGTCAGACATATGGATTAAGAGCTGGTTTGTGAGGTTGAATGGTTTATTCAAGTTCTAAATTAAATAATTTTGGTTGGTAGGGAACCTTGTTAGGTTGCCACTTAGTTAAGCAAATTATTGAAATAATCTTCTTAGATGTTCATGCTAGTTTTGAAGCCTTTTGGACTACCCTCTTGAGTGGGATGCGAGCTAACCTATTTTTAGGCTTGCTTGGGCCTTAAGCAACCTATTGAGACTTCGGCAAGTGTACCGAATCATACAAGTAATATAAAATGGTAAGATCAAGTATCGTTGATAACAGTTGAAAAACTGTTATTTTTATGATTAAAATTGACACTAAAAGCAACCTTTACACTTAGAAACTAGCTTGAAATCATGCTTTTCTTTATATTTTTGGAAATAAGAGAGCTGGACAGGTTTATGCTTGATTTCAGTGTTTTTGTGCAGGTTTTAAGGTGAATTTGGTGAAAGAAGTGAAGAAGGAGAGAGATGAAATCAGAAAAGACATCAAAAAGTGCAAAAGGAGAAGCCGAAGTCACCGCTCAGCGGCAGTTTACCACTGAGCGGCACTTAGGCACTCACGGGAGATCCGCTGAGGGGCAAAATGGCCGCTGAGGGGAGAAAACGAGACGCGCACTCACCGCTGAGCGGTACTTTACCGCTGAGCGGCACACTTATGGGCTTGGACCTAGATTTTTTGTAATTTTAGAATAGTATATAAGCTTTAGGACATCCTAGGGTTTGTATCTTTGGCTGGAACGAAGCAAACACTCTCTCTTCCACCCCTTTGAAGGAGGATCTTGGATGCTGAGGCTTCCTCTTCACCTTTTTAGGGTTTATTCTTTCATTCTTTCATTGTAATTCATCTAGGTTCACCATGAATATGGTGAACTAAACTCTGTATGTTTGTTGGGGAATCAATGTAATCTTGTGAAGCTCTCATATATGGAATCTGTTGTTACATCTTTTAATTAAGACTTATGCTTTCTTTCATCATTAGTTAGGGTTTTTCCTCTTTGCTTAATGCTTGCATTGTTTAACTCATTCGATGCATGATTATTGGTTTTGTCGATACGGGCACGTACGGGGAAGTCTAGATCCGGGGAATTTCTCCCAATATGATATTGGTTGTCGTTAAGCTCCTGCACTTATGAACTGATCATTAGGAATGCTAGGAATTGTATGAACTCGTGATTAGGGAGAAGCCTTCTAGAAAGGTACTTTAGAGAGTGGCATTAACAATGATGATTTGAATGTTGAATTCCTAAAATATATGAGAGTGGATAAGATGAAATTGACCCCCAACAACATATTCATACATAAATTCCATTGAAAGTGTTTATCTTTTGCTTTTTGCCATTGATCAAAACTTCATGCATACATGTTTATTTTCTGTCTTGCATATTAAACTCCAAATATTTCGTCTTTAAGTCTTAGATAATCAAGAAACCACAACTAAACTAGGCCGTGAGTCCTTTGGGATGAACGATACTTGGTCTTACCAAGTTTATTACTTGAACGATTCGGTCATACTTGCCGATTGAAAAACAACTTTGTGACATCATATTTTGGTGTTCATAAATTTGTCCATCAATCGTGTCCCAAGAGGCTCTCGGCACTAGACAGTTGTGTGATAACTCGATTAATTAAGACTTAAAAGGAATGAAATCATTGGTTTAGAATGCAAATATATAAAATTAAATATGAATGCATTTTTGATCAATTTAAGAGTTGTACAACGATGAACTTATGAGGTTTAGTTTATGAGATGAATATGTTGTTGGGGTTAGATTTCACCAAGTTTACTCTTATGTATATAATAATTCTTTTTCTTTCATTAAAGTCAACATCACTCACTAAATTACTTAAAACCCGATCCCTCGGTGAAGAAAGTCTATCCTTAATTACTAGTTCATACGATTCCTAGCATTCCTAATAATTAATTCTGAAGATCGGGAGCTTAAGATGACCAAGACTCATACCCCCATCCTCGAGAAATACTGCTCTTGGGAATAATTCTACAAGAACCTAAATTGTAAGGAACCTCCCGACACTCATGCAATTCATACATCACGCTATGAATGAGTTAAACAAAGAGAGCATTGATCACAGAAGAATTATCTAACAGTTAATGAAAGAAGCATAAATTATTAGGAATCAATTCAAATACATGAGAGTTCACAAGCTTACATCATCCCCCAACAACAAATAGAAGTTAGTTCCCCATTGTCAAGGCGAAACTAGATGTACAATGGAGAGAATGAGATAAAAAAACCCTAAAAGTTATGGAATCTCCCGCATCCAAATCCGCCTTCAAAGAGTGGAAGAGTGTGTTGATGTGCCTCCTCTGCCAAAGATACAAAACCTAGGGTGTCTGGGTCCTTTAAATAAAGTGGGATCAAAACAAAAACAAAGCTTAGGCCCATCTCTCTGGCGCTCAGCGCCCCACTTAGGACACCCGGGCGTGCTGCGATACCAAAAGTGACACTCAGCTTCACTCAAAGGGCAAGCAGGCGTGGTTCTTTAGAAAAAGTGGCGCTCAGCGCCCCGAAAAGGGCGCCCAAGCGGTGTGTGGTAGGCTTTGGCGCTGAGGCCCCCAAAAGGGCGCTCAGGCGTTGTGCGTTCCTCCTTTCTGATGTTTTTCCAGGTCTTTCTGAGTTCCATCTCCTTGGCATTTCAGCTCTGCTTCCCATATTATCTCATTTC